TGAAGTATGTTCAGCACAGGAAGTGTGTGTCTTGCTCTAGGCTAGTAAGTACTCGTGATTGACAAGAAGACCAAGATGCTGCCCATCCTGTTTAAGTTCACCCTTAGCTTATGACCCTGTGGATCTATTCACTGGAGTTCCCTTTGACATTTAAGCAATGACAGCCTAAAGTCTTTCAAACCAGGAGCCCAAAATACCATTTAGATGGTGGAAGTCCCTCATCTAGGCACTTCCAGGACACATCCTGCCAAGAGTGGGGATAATTTGCTTTCTGGATAAGGAGGCCCTCCCTCTGGATTCAGGAAAAGCTGCCTACCCACTGTGGAATTAGCTCAGGGTTCCTGATTCCTGCCTTCTCTCCATTCAGACTTTCCTTAACCTCAACAAGTAGAGAAATCTGTCCTCTTCCTGTTAAATACTCCAAACTCCAGTCAGAGGCCTCTACAAGAGGGTCTCTGCGCTAAACAGCAGCATCTGAAGGACACTTTCACTTGGACAAAAAAGGAGAGAGACCCAGTCTCCCAAGTTCCTCATTACCAAAGAGAACACTGATCCTGATGGCAGAATAGGTAGGACTCCATTCCCATCATATCTGGACAACGTGGCATAGCCCTGTATCGAAGTCAATAATGTCCTCTTGGTTCTCAGTGTGTCTGTACGAACACAACATTCCCTATAACTCTTCTCTGGAACAGTACAGTCCAGGTTATATTTCTTGGAGGTGCAGAGCAACACAAGTCCCCTTGGGGGATGATGTAGTGGGAGGTGAAACAAACAGATCACTGGCTCCGATAGCACTCTCCCAATCCAGCACCAAGTCCCAGGTTCCCACTTTTTGAAAATGAAGGCCCAAAAAAGAAAACTATGCATGGAACATGGGGGAGAAGAGCTGCCATTTATTCTTTTCCCCTGCTCATCTCAAGTCCTTCTGTTACTGACCTGATAGATGTCCCCAGACTCAGTCTTTCTCCTACAGATTTATTGATGTCCTCAATGACCAAGGCTGCTGGCTCTTCAGTTGATAGACTATATGAACGTTCTTTATAAGAAAGAAACAGAAATAAGAGATACTAGTTAAATCATAGCATATAAAACGTAGATGAATAGCAGATTTAAATGTTATAAGAGAACATCAGAAATATGTTATAGCAATACCTCAGGATAAACAAATGGCAGACAAGGAAGGATTTCCAACTATGGAAGAATTTCAAGTCATAAGTTTAAAAGAAATGAGAAAATGAGAGAATTATCATTCTACAGCCCTTAATGGAGTATGGATAATGGTGATGATTATCAGAGTGCCAGATCACCAAAAAGGAAGACACACTGACATTACACATCTCCTAATGGAAGTGTAAAGCATCCCGCTGGACTGGTCTTGCCACAGAACAAACATATGGACTAATTCTCTAGGCCATAGCCACATAGACCACACGAGTTTTGGAGGCCAATTGCACCCTAGAATCAGGCAAAACCTAAGCAGCATCATACGTTTACTTTTCCAAATCACACAAAAACATTTGAAAATATGCACACATCTTAAGAAGCTAGCCCTCCTTGATGCAAAAACCTGATAGATGAGGAGACCCCAAGAAAAGAAAGTTTCAGCCAAGCCCACTCCACTGTTCAAAACTGTACTAGAAAACACAGCCAGAATGATAAGAATAGCAAAATAAACCAGAAGTACGAAATATGCAAAAAGAAAGATAATATACACTAGTGGCATATGATTTCTGCGTATGCAATGTCGGGTAACCTAAACAAATCAGGGGCTTTCAACATCATTCATCTCACTCCCTTTCCGACACAAAGTAAATTTTTTGGAATAGAATTTATATTAGAGGCCAGGTCTGACTGGTGAAGAGGAGGAATAAACAGCGTGATTTTTCTCTGACTGCCCGCCACCTGTCCTGGCCTCTGTCTGCCTTGTGCTTCAAATTCCCCATTTCACATTAAGGCTGGGACACGACGCAATCCAAGCACCGCAAGGGTTGCAGTAAGTAAACTCATCAAGACTTCCCTGGGATGTGGCATTTCCCAGGAAGCCTTGCATCAAAGAGAAAGGAGCCAAGAAGCGAACGCCCATGAATAGGGCTGAGAAGACAAACACCAAAGCATAACGGGAGGTCACGCAGAGACGGTCCAGTGCCTGCTTTCAGGCCTCAATTGACCTAGGCGGGCAGGGCTCTCTGGCTGAGGCATCTCCTCAGTTACTCGTCAAGGTTTCAGGGACACGAGGACCTTGGCAAAACAGGCATGACCTCGGCTCAACAGAGAGAGGATTCCAGGGCATGGCAAAGTCAACGGGAAAACCATGAGCCTGGACTAGCAGCGACCTCCACTATGAAGCTGAGCGAGGTGCGCAGCCCCGCCCTTGCTGCTGGCCCCATCCCTGCTGTTTTGCCACGCCCCTGCTGTTGGCCCTGCCCCTGGTATTGGCCCCGCCCCCCGGAAGGCTCCTGGCAGGGGTGGCAACCGGAAGTCACGCCCACGGACTTCCGCGTCCAGGCTGTGGGGTCTGTGAGGACTTCGAGGGGAGCCGCTAAGACTCCGTTCGGCAGACGGAGTAGTCCCATCTGCTGCCGGGTGTCAGGTGAGACTCTGAATGGGCCCTGAGGCAATCACCCACCATAGAAAAGAGGGCGCCTACGAGATAGGAGTCCCAACCCAATCGTGGGAGGCCCCGGACTGGGCTGTGAGGGTGACGTACCACACACTTCATCTTCAGCGGTCTGGTTGAGGGGAGGGCTTTTCTGCGCGGGACTATGAGTCTCCAACCTGCCCGTGGTCAAGCAAAGGCCCCTGAGTGAGTCCTGAGGGGACCCCCTCACCCCACACAGTGGGCGGCGCACCGAGCCTCGGCCCGTCTGTCAGCCCTGGGAGGCCCCGGGCAGGGGCGCCCGGAAGTGTTGCTGACTGACTGGCCCGTCTGTCAGCCCTGGGAGGCCCCGGGCAGGGGCGCCCGGAAGTGTTGCTGACTGACTGGCCCGTCTGTCAGCCCTGGGAGGCCCTGGGCAGGGGCGCCCAGAAGTGTTGCTGACTGACTGACTTCTGCCTCCGGAGTCTGAGGGAGGTGAGGCCTTAGTCTGAGGTAGGCAGTGCCATGTCGTCACGGAGGGCGTCTCGGGCCCTCTAGGAGTCCCGGGGAGGACCCAGAGTGCATTCTTAGGGTTCCACCCTCGCCAGTGCAGAGGGTGTGGCACAGCGTGTAGCCTTTTTGTCAGACCAGGATGTCCTGTGTGTGAGGTGTCTCCTCACTTCCTTTTTGAGTGTTTCAGAGAGATGGGGCCTTGATCGGAAGCTGGGGCCTCAGGTAATAGACGGCAGCGGGCATGTTGCCAACCACTCTCCGATTTGAGGAGCACAGATGAAGATTGTAGGGCTAAGCAACTGATGACAGACGGGCCTCTACAGAGCCCTTCCCCTGCTGTCAGCCCTGAGAGGCCCAGGGAAGGGATGGCAGGTAGAGGCGACCTCTCCTTTCCTCCTCTTAGTCTCAGGAGAGTAAAAGATTTGTTCTCGGTAGATTATGTTAAGTCAGCAGCACTCTGATGCCCTGGCAGGTGTCATCGAGTTATGTCTGAAGGGCAACCTCACCATGTAAAAGTGTGGTCCCACAGATCACAGGGAACCCATGGGAGATCCCAAGCTGTGAGGGCCAGACGAGACACCCAGTCACTCCCGCATGATGTTCACTGGGAACTGAGGCCTTATTTTGAGTGGACTAACTCAGGTCAGAAGGACAAGTCTCAGGCCATGCCAGGACTCAAGGTGAGGACCCCAAGACAAGACCATCTGGACCAGATACGCCAGAACAGAGGGGCACCATGAAGCTTTTCCATGCCCCTTTGGTCAATCCTGAGAGGTCTCTAGAAGGGGTAACCATTTATCAGGTGAATTTGGGTTATCCTTTGTGATTTTGAGGAGGTGAGAGCCTTGGTTTGAGGCAGTGATGTCGGGTCATCAAAAAAGAGGATTCCCAGGAGCTTAAAGGTCTCAGGTAAGAACCCCAAGTTAGGACTCAGGGCTCCACCCACCCCAGGACAGAGGGTACTCCAGAGTGTCTAGCTCCTGCTGTTAGCCAGGAAAGCCCCAGGAGAGGTGGATAGACTGGGTCCTTCCTCAATTCCTCCTGGGGTGACTCGGGAAGATAAGGCATTCTTGTATGCAGGGGGTTTGGCATCAGTTGGCAGAGTGGTCAGGCCTGAGACCCTACGAGTATTCAATGCAAGGACCCTGAGTGAATACAGAAGGACCACCAACCCCAGTCAAGTGGGGATCACAACAAGTTCAGCCCTGCACTGTTATGATCTCTGAGAGGCTGGGGGAAAGGCTGTCAGGTGGACATGACCCCTGTTATCTCCTCCACATCTCGGGAGGTGGTGGCTTTGGTCTGAGGGGCCAGTGTCAGGTCAGTAAAAGAAGAGATCCCGGGACTTGCCTTGACTCAAAGTAAAAAAACAGAGTAAGAACTGAGAGACCACCAACACCAGTACAGATAATATCCACAGATTGTAGCTCCTGGTCATCCCTGGGAAATCCCAAGTTGGATTTCTGGAGGAGGCACCTCCACATTTCCTCCTCATTTGTCTTAAGAGGTGTAACTGTAGAATTTAGAGGCACAGCCTCATATTAGCATAGAATAGGTGACCCAGGCCCTATCGAATGCCAAGGTAATGAACCTGAGTTAGGACTAATGAGACCACCCTCCTCAGAACAAAAATGGGTCTACAGAGCCTGACCACACCTGCCTTCTACGAACCCTGAGAATTCTCAGCCTGGGTTGGCTGGCTGCACCCTGAAGAGCATTCAGACTTCCTCCTTCAAGTTCTTGGAGGACGCAGCAACCAGGAGGTCAAGAGACCTGTGAGGCTCTATTTCATTGTTGTCAGAAGTCCACTGGAGGCGGCTTTTGTCAGAGCTGCCACAGTTGAGCTTACCAGCTGAAGCCACTCACATCTGCCTTCTTTCCCTTAGGTGGTGATTCCCCATTGCCCACCCTCCTCTTCATATTCCTGCCTACTGCCTGCCACACACAAGTCTCATCATGCCTTTGCATCAGAAGAATCCACGATGCTCACATGATCAACGTCTTCAGACCCACCGTATGAACCAGGATCTGGAGGTTGCACAGATCTCCAGGGCTCTGGAGGTGACCTGTCTCTCCTCCCATTCTCTAATGCCTGGCAATTCGAAGGAGGCTGCTGGTGCTGGTATACCCAGTATTCCTGAGGGTCCTCAGAGTTTCTGCTCATCTTCCATTGCCATCACAGCCACCTCATCAAGCAAGTCGGATGAGGGCTTCAGTAGCCAGGAAGAGGCGAATAGCATCTCACTGGCTACACCAGATCCCAAGAATGTGCCCCTAGTTGCTCTAGGAGAGAAAGTGGCTTCGTTGGTGAATTTCCTGCTATACAAGTATCAAATGAAAGAGCCAGTAACAAAGGAAGATATGTTGAAGATTGTCATCAAAGAATACGAAGACCACTTCACTGAGATCTTACTGAGAGCCTCTGAGCACATGGAGATGATCTTTGGTCTTGACGTGAAGGAAGTGGATCCCAGCAACCACTGCTATGGCCTCCTCATCAAATTGGGCCTCACCTATGATGGGATGCTGCATGGTGAAAAGGGCATCCCCAAAACCGGCATCCTCATACTTACCCTGGGTGCGATCTTCATGAAGGGCAACCGTGCCACCGAAGGGGAAGTCTGGGAAGTTCTGAATGTGATGGGCCTATATTCTGGGAGAAAGCACTTCATCTTCGGGGAGCCCAAGAAGCTCATCACCAAAGATTTAGTGAAGGAAAAATACCTGGAGTATCGACAGGTGGCCAACAGTGATCCTGCACAATTTGAATTCCTGTGGGGCCCAAGAGCCCATGCTGAAACCACCAAGATGCAAGTCCTGGAGTTTCTGGCCAAGGTTCATGGGACTCACCCAAGTTCTTTCCCATCTCAGTATGAGGAGGCTTTGCGAGACGAAGAAGAGAGAGCCCGAACCAGAATTTCAGGCAGGGCTGTCTCTACTTCCATGGCCACTGCCAGTTCTAGGGCCAAGTCTAGTCATTTCTCCCGCCCCTAGAGAAGCCTGAGGCTGATTCTTCACTTTGTGTTTGAAGAGGCAGTTAGTGTTCACAGAATTCAGGTCTGAGGTGGGGCTGAGAGGAACATGGTATATACGCCTATGTGTTCCTATATTATTTGTGTAACTTGAAAAGTTATTCTTTTATTTTTTGACGTATGTACTATTCAAATATTGTTTCTTCTAATATAGATTTGATTAGCTTCAAAATCTCCAAGTTTATGAATGATGTGGGTCACATATTTAATGCTATAATGAGGTTTAATAGTAAGAGCTTTGTCGTTTTGGAAAGGAAATTGTGAAACCATCAATCTTGTTTTGTCATCTGGAGTAAGATATCATCGCATTGGTATAGGCATTTACTGGAAATGTGAAAGAAATCAGCTTTAAGATAGTTTGGGTAAAGATATAGATAACAAATGAAAGATTGGCAATTTATGGCCCTCTTATACCTTTTATTTTTTGTTTTATGTAATTAAATTACATATGCCTGAATTCACTAACTGTTTATGAATATATAAGAAATAAATCTGAATAAACTAGACCTCATGCTCACTGTTTCTTTTATTCCCCAACCTTCATTGAACATTTGCTCTTGGTAAATCACCACATTAGTCTTGGAGATTCTAGGATAAACAAGACCTAGGAACTGCTCTTATAATTTTTACTTATAGGATTGGCAATTCTATAATAATGACAGTGGGATATTTTCTAATATCCAAATGGCAACTAAAAGAAGACATTAGCAGATGAGTGAAGGGGTTCCATATGAGACTGTCAAGTATAATTGGCCTGGGGCAAGGAAATTTGGGGTTCGAGGAAGCTCGAATTCCTTCCATGATAGTTAATTTTAAGTTACATTTGGATGTAGGGCAAGATGAGGCTGAGAGGCTGGCGATCAGGGATCAGACCTTCAGATGGTGTGTCTCAAAGTTGAGACTCAAAAACCTGGAGTGGAAAACTATTCTTCACAGTTACTTTGGGATCATGGTTTTGAAAGAGACAAATCTGCACCAGCCAGGAATAGAAGTTGTTCTGTGATCTTTTCCTTGTGCCATTGAACATAATTCACAAACTAAGTCTTTTGTGCACATTATCTTCAAGGAGTCTTTGAGCAATAACAATGATACTTTCTTGAGGTGAGATACCCAGAAACCACTGGGTCAGCTTTGTTGCCCTGGGCTGGGAGAACCGGAGACTACTCCATTTAAGGGATATTTTAAATAGATTATTTTCAGTGTAATTTGGCATAGACTGAGAAATGTTCATATTTTTGATGGGGGTGAAATTAATGAAAATAGGAGTGGTTTGAATGGAAGAGAAACTAGCAAGGTGATGAATTGCTCCATGTCACAAACTCTAGGAATTTCAAGTTGCATCTAGCTGGAGAAGAAACTTCCTCCCCCATTATTAAAGAATACCAAGAGATATATTTCTTGAGGTGTACTTGCTAAGCAGCATTTTGGTTGATCTGATATTCCGTGTCCTGTAGCACTTCGTGTTCTCTGAGACATACTGGATTTTTGAAAATCACATAGGTGACGGTGGTAGAATCGGTGGTCAAAGTAATGGCACTAATAACTGCCATTCATTAAAGACCTAAGGTATGCCAGGCACTGGGCCAGGTGCTTTACATACATTTTACTCTTTCCAACACTCCATCATGACAGGGCATATCAGACTCACTCTTCAAATGAAGAGCCTAGGATTCAGAAAGCTTGAGAATGTGCCCGAGTTCATAGGTCTGGTATGTGACAGAACCAAGGCTAGACTTCTGGTCTGAAGTCTTCTAGGGCCCAGTCTGTTGCATTCCTGTGGCCTGAGGGCCATCTTCTATCTTTTGATTCATTTCTCTTCTCACTACTCCATAATGTCTCTTGGGATAAAAAGGACCTTGAATCCGAAGTACTAAAAGCACATATAAAGAAGAAAGGTGAAAATGATAATCAAATACAATTTGGGCATTGGCTGTGGGCTTCATTTACTTAGGGTCCTGCTGCCCTTAATCCCAGGGTTCCTTGAGAGCTGACTTTGCCTAGGGGCTGGGATTTTTGTCCAGCTTCAGCTCTTTGTGTGTAAGAGTTTATAGTATGTCACCTCAGAATATGCCACGTTGGCATATTGGCTATTTTGAATTAAAGGTACTTGAGAAGCAGCTAGTGCGGGAGGGACACTCTGACCCTCCTCTACCCAGAAAGCAACAGATAAATCTCCCATGTGAAAGGTGTCCTCCCTGTACCAGGATGGTAGAAGGCACCCTTATCACCAGAGACAGGGAATTTAGGGTGGAGAAGGTTGTATAAACAAATCTTCTTACTTCCTCACCATTTACCTCCCCAAACCCAAACCCCTTTGCCTTGTCAACTCTTCACAAATTTATTGTTTCTTCATCTAAAAGGCATAAAAACTTCCTGCTTTGGTCACTTCTTTGGGTCTCATATTTTTGTGGGGCTCCTATACGTACATACTTATGTAATTAAGTTTGTTTTTCTCCTGTTAATCTGCCTTTTTATTATGGGGGGAGTGGGTCTCAGCCAAGAACCTAGAAGGGTAGAGGGAAAATTATTTTTCCTTCCCTGCATGTGCATTACAACACTCTTCCCCTGGGTATTCTCCAGTACACCCTCTTGTCCAAATTGGAACCTGAACCTGCTGATCAGCTCTTCACTGCATCCTCCCCTGAAGCCTGGACCCTGCGCCAGTGGAACAGCCCAGAATCACCTGCCCTTTCCCTGACTTAGAGTATTCCAACTCCCTGGAAGTCCCATCCCTCACCATGGAACCCCTCTGATAACAATATCCTGTTCCATGCAAAAGGTCATTTTTGTGTGTGTGTATGAGGAAGATCAGCCCTGAGCTAACATCTGCCAATCCTCCTCTTTTTCCTGAGGAAGACTGGCCCTGAGATAACATCCATGCCCATCTTCCTCCACTTTATGTGGGATGCCGCCACAGCATGGGCTGACAAGCAGTGCGTCAGTGCGCGCACAGGAACCGAACCCGGGCCGCCAGCAGTGGAGCACGCGCACTTAACCGCTACGCCAGGGGGCCGGCCCCCAAAAGGTCATTTTGACAGTGAAATTTAGACTGGTCATCACCACTAGGTGTTTTCATCACATTCTCAAAGTGACTTTTAAATGATCTGGTGAGTATAGTTTTACGTAGCAAAGAATCTACTAGTTTTGGTGCTAGATCCCCAAGAGATGGGATTTGGATATTTGCAGTAGAATTTTAAAGGGATTTTTTATTTGAGAATAAGAAAAAAAAACTCTCATTTTTTCAATGAGAGTTAATTTTAAGTTAAATTTGGATGTAAGGCAAGATGAGGCTGAGGGGGTGAGGGGGCTGAGGAGGCTACTGGACACATAAACCAATGAGTGAGCTTACCTTGGTGGCTCAAAACCAAAGCCTCTCCTATAAGTGATAGATGAGGGAAGACCATTGAAATAACTAAATAAGTAAACATCTACAGTGTCTCAATTCCTGTAAACTCTGGACTCCTTCTAGGATGTAGAATGTGGTTCCTTGGTATTACCTTTGGATAATAGATCGATAGATAGAGAGAATCTTGGTTTTCAATATGCATAATTGCATCTGTGCAGATGTACAGGCATTTTCAGTCAGGTGGTAGAAAGCAGAGAATCATAAGTTAGTTTTGTTAATGCACCAAAAGTCAAGAGAAAATTTTCAGTATATTGTGATCATAGTGGTTATTGTAAAGGACAGCACAGAACAGTGCTTTTGAGTGAAATATTGCAAACCCTTCCTGCAGAGATTTACAAGGTCCTTTTGAAAATTATATGTGACCCTGTATTGGAAAGCACCTGTTACATAGTGAGGTCTCAAAAAGTGGGAAAATTGCAAGAGACATTTGGTCTTGTCTGAAACTCCACCGGGAAATGAAGAGGGTTGTTGATGTAACAAATTCTAGTGATTGCTCTCTACTGAGCACCTACTATGTAACAGCTTATGAGAGAAACTACAAGTGCTCAGCCACAAATTGTCATCCACTCCCTCCTGGGTTCATGGGAAGACTACATTGCACAGTTAGTTTGTAGTTAGAAAGGATCATGTGACTAGCCCTTGCCACTGAAATATGAGCAGAAACAATGTTTTTCACTTACAGGCCAAGGCATTTGCTTATTATTCTGCCATTTGTCTTTCCCACTTAACATAACTGCGGGATCTTCCCATGACAACACAGATAGATCTACTTCACTTTTATAACTACTCCCGTAGCATGTATGTGCCATAATTAATTTAACCATCTCCTTCTGATGTACATATAATTTGTTTCCCATTTGTTGCTATGACTTATAGAATAAAAATATTTTGAGCATGACTTATTGGTCTAAAGTCTATATTTCTGACAGCAAGGTAGAAATTGAGTTAAAGTGGAAAGTGTGTGGAGATTGTAAATTTTCAGAAATATTGCCAAAATTTTATCCCCAAAATACTGTACCATTTCATATTCTTAAAGTTCATGCATGTGAATACCATACACATACATGAACTTTATTTTATAAATAAATATTTTATATTTTATATATATATTATTTTATATATATATATATATACACACCTCCATATATTATATAATTCTCATATATATTATATCAATCCTTGCTTAATTTGATAAGCAAGGATTTGGTCAAAATGACCAGTTGACAGGGAATGGGGCCAGACAGGACACTTACACTTAGTAAGGGATGAAGATCCAGGGAAAGAGTAATGTCCAGGGTCCATGAGAGAGACCACATGTAAATCCAAGTCCAGAGAGCTCAGAGCAGGCTGGTAGCCAAAGTTCTGAATCCAAAGTTTAGTGTAGGATGGAGAAAGGACCAGAAGGAGAGAAAGTGGAGAATCTGAATGGAGAGTCCAGGACAACTCACACGAAAAGTCTTGGGAAATCTCTGAATCATCACTAACAGCTGGAAATTGTATGGTTATCTGAGTAGGGAGGTCTACTGGATGAAAAGACCAGAAACATCCACCATTCCATAGAATTCCTCCACCTAATGTTAAGCCAAGTATAGCTGTATCTCCTGGATCATCCA